TTTCGGACGAGTTATCCATCACGTAAATCACCCCAATATATATTTCGGCCTTCGTTCTGTTTGTTTGTTTTGTTTTGTAATTAAGTTTGTATTGTCTGTTCCGGGAATTCGGCTTGAACTCTGAAAGAACGACTTGGAGAGGTCGGGTCAAGGTGTGGGATGGGTAGAGCATGGGACAAGAAATAAAAAGCACACTTGACCTATGCGAAGCCCCGCCCACAGTGGGCGGGGCACTCGCTGTAATTTTTGGGGTTCGCATCGAGGAATGTTCATTAAATTCACCCCGCCTTCCGGAGCAGACATGGGGAAAAAGTTTATTAAGGTTAGCAAGGAGTTGCCAGACTACGTGTGGGAGGCATCCCCAAGATGGGCGGGGGGTACTCAAGATGGGCGGTGCTTCTCATAAAACTCAGTAACCCGGTTCGCGAGAGTGTTTAGAAGTCGCAAAAAGCTCAGTGCAGAATATAAATATCTGGCGAGTGTTGGGCAGGCTCAAAGTGTGTTGAGACCCACTCGCAGTGGGCGGAGCTTGCCCTCAATCGCAGGATACTCATTTCAAAAGTTTGTAGCTCGGTTTCAGAACACTCCAGAACCGTAAAAAGAGATCGAGGCCAGCGAAGGACTGGGCCCGATTGAGGATCTGCGAGCACAAACACAGGCGGTAGCTGCTTCGAGGTGGGCGAGTTTAGACGAAGAAAATCTGTGAAAATAGTTCCCAGAGCAGCTCCGGCGACCGAAAAAAATTAGATCAGTCAGGAAAGGGTCTGCCGATTGAAGAAATATGGGGTACCTGTTGTGGGGGGAGCCAGTCTCGAGGTGGTGGGGACAGGCAAGAGTTCTGTGAGAACGGTTCAGTGCACTCCAGGGACGCCGGAAAAAAGTGGATTCAAGGTCAGCAAAGGGTCGCCGATTGAGAAATGTGGGGCACACATGTTGTGGGCGGAGCCAGTCCGAGGTGGGCGGAGACAGACAAAAGTTTGTAAAACGGTTCCAGAGCACTTATCAAGATGTAAGCAGAGATGTGGCAGGACCTCAGCTGTTGGAGTATATAAACAAGAAAGTTGTGTGTGTCAGGGTGTTGTAACCCGCTCCCAATGGATGGAGCGCACGACGTACTTATTCTTACTAAGTTTTAGCGCGTATTCTGCCATACTCTTAACCACCGGTCGTCATAGGTATTAGATTCCAGTCGGCTCGGCGGCTGATGCCAGCGCTCCTCCTCCTGTGATACGGCCCAAGTTGGCCGGACGGGCACGGCTTCGCCACACATTCCTTCCCCAGCTATTCTCTCGCCTGTGCCCATAATCGACGCTTTAGTACCACTCCATACTCAGTAATAGTCAAAATAGCAGGGATGATGTATTTATCGAGAAGCCCGGGCCGGATCAGAAGGAGGCGCGCCGGCGTCAGCCGGCGAGGCGACTGGTGCTCCAATACTGGTGCTCCAATAAGACGGGGCATTTTGTTACTTAGCACAACTGACATCTGAACCTACGATATTTAACACAAACGAAATGGATACACCCATTGAGCGTTCTTTCTCCTCGGCCCAACTTAGAACCCCCGTCCTATTTTGCTTACCTCACACCCGATGTTTAGTACAGCATCCGAGAAGCAGTCAAAATATTAGCAGTAGGGAGGGTTATTGAGAAGATATCAATGCATCAAAGATATTGGGTGAAGTTGTCACCCAACATCTTTGATGCATTGATGCCTGTCCCAGTAAACGTGGGAAGTTGGTTACAACAAGTGGTTTAGGGGATGTGACGGGAACGTTCCCTTCGCATCCCCGACAGAGTTGCCGGTGTAGTGTTCATATTCAATGGAATGATATTTTCGAAAGCTTCAGCCATGTGACTAGGGGGACAGTGGGGGGTTCGGACAAGTAGAGCACAGCTGCAAGAATCCTGCACCGAATTCAAATCGGCTCAACCTCGAGCTTCAAAGACGACCAATAACCGAGTGTGAGGACGCCTCCTGCGCCACGTTTTCTGGTGGATCACCCGCATGAGCGCCTGTCCATGACAATCAATAGGTTCGAGGGAAACCAAACAACAAAACAACCACTGAATTATTTCGGAATAGTATGTCACCGTTCGGGGTCTTCTATTGTTGCTCATTACCTTGCACTTTTTGGCGTAGGAGGGGCCTTTTCACACTTTCACTAGCTTCTTTCGCTAATCCCTGTCAAATTTTAGGTCTATCCCAGAGATCTATGGAGAATCTAAGTTTTCACAAGTACAAATAAAGCTCGTGTCAGCTTGTTGCATAGCTTTACAAGGCTTTACAAGTCTTCACAGGAGATCGGCTATGGTCGATGAGAAGCAAGAGAATGCACCACCCCAAGGCCAAACTGTGCTTTTCCTCTATTTTATGGTTCTCATATTTGAGCGCGATTCAATCTTAATATACCTGGACGCAATAAGAAATCAACTGCACAGCGTGCAAATGGGTGCGCTCATTTAAAGGCAGTTGGCACGGTAATCACCCAAGACGAGAAGGATTAATACGCCTGGAAAGACGGAATTCCGCACGCTGCGTAGCCCCCTTCCCAGGGAACCTACTTTCATAGGGCCCTGTCAAGCTACAACATGCCGACCCGAGCGCCGACCGCGTCAGTCCGCCCTCAGATAGACGACCGTACCTGAGGATGCTCGTATTGCTTCATGCGCTAAGTAAAAAATAAAGCGAAGGGACTTATGAAACGGCCGTGATGCTGCATATATGAGCACATACGCGCAGCGATACCTGCCGCAGCGGTTATTGCCAAGGTGCCTGCGCGAAACTCGTCCGGACGTGCTTTTTGAGTCATTAAGAACGTTTTTTCTGTTTCCCCACTATATAGCGCCCTACTAGCATTCTAGGCCAAGTAACAAATTATAGTGCCAACTGCCTTCAATTACTCAATCATGAACCTGTAGTTCATAAATACTCCACAGTAAAGAAAAAAGAAAAAATTAGAAAACACCCTGAACGACCCCTTTAGGGTGTTGCTGGAGCCATGGACGAGTTTGTCAGACATCGGCAAGCCAATCAGCAGGATTCGGCGTACAACCAGTTCCCGGCAATAGCATAGTGGATCACCCTACGATGCTTCAGGCAACGCTATGTGCACACGCAATTCTGTTTGTAAGCGCTGTCTTGCAGAGTGAAAGTAATTGTGGTTGCGATGGTTGCAATAATCACGCAATCTCTAGCTTCTTTATCTCACCCTTTCGAGTGGCGGAAGTGGTATATTCTCTGCCAATCTAGAAAGCGATCCCAAATGCACGGAGGCGTTTCGCGGACTACTTGATGGGGGAGCTGTCTTTAACAGATGGGGCGAGCGAGCAATCCCCCCCCCGGAATTCGCAACTTACGACGTGCTTCGGTTCAATTTTTTCGTTAGGTCACACTGTGATTCAAAAAGCGGAGTTGTAACGTTATCCTTGAAACGAAGGACCTGAACGCGCCGCGGCTACTTTTCTGCTAAGAGGTTCTGGTTTTTAGGCTTATACTTGTGACTTTGTCCAGGGCAGGACAGAATTAACGCTGTCATAAATGGAATATTGCAACAAAAAAACGCATCCTACGCCATATTCAAATGAAACGCCCTCCCCAACTCCGGGATGCTGTGTATTAAGCGTGAACGTACACTCGAGATCCCTGAGATCGGGTAGGCGTGGCCGCATTTTTCAACTTATCCTTAAGGCGTCTACGCTTCTGATGCGATATTTTCATCTCCACACAATCGTTGTCTTGTCTACCCAATCTCAGGGATTTCGAGTATATGTCACGACACGTCACGCCATGCATATCAAAGGCAGGTCAACTTGAACGAATCACGAGTCGATTGCATTTTCTCAGTTGTTACTTGAGAGTCTCACTACTTAACGTAAACACTCTTTCGCAGCGGATGAAGGGCGTGTCTGACAGTATCATTGTGCCACGACGCCAAACTCATTCTTTGCTCGTTGCTGAAGTGGGTACACGACAGCAACTGGTGGCTCTAAACCGCTCCAAACTCATCTCGCCTGACACGCCCCTTCGTCCGTAGCGAAATAGGCTATAGCAGAACGGATGCAAATGTCAAGGTGCTAACGCGGTGGGGATGGGAGGGGACTACTCGGCTAGTGCCTCCATATTTCTTCCCTGCAGAACTATATCTAAGCGACTTCGGTCGTTTGTACTCTGAGCCTTAGCCTTTTTGGTGAAGGAATACACAAGCGCGCCTGGTGCTCACCCCTATCGTCGTCTCTGACGACGATCCCACCTTTCATCGTTGCCTCGTACGTAGTCTGAGACGAGCCCTCTTCAAGTCCGCCTTCTACATGATATTCGGAGTCAAGCTGATACATGCAGACAAGTTCTTAGACAAGGGCATTATTCTTCCTCTTTTCGTCCACCAAGGGTATACTACATGAGTGACAACTTGCCATTAAGAGCCTATTACATTCATTGTTATTGTTCTCGCCACTCGTGTAAATACACTGAACCACCTGCACAACCTCCCAACTACATAAGCGCTTACGGTAACAACCTTGCGTAAGGCGCCAACCATAAAAACCCGACAGCTCAGCGATCCGGACGAGTTATCTCACTTGAAAGACGTGCTGCATGACGTACCACTACACGTCAATGGCATGCGAACGAATCATGCGGCCCCTTCCTGAAAAGCAATGCTATTTCCTATCTCACTTCCGGTTTCCTTCGATTTCCGATTAATTTTTAGGCGTTTTCGTGGGTCCGCAATTACGTCACAGCAACCATGCGGCGCTGCTATTGACAACAGGCATCGGCTCATGCGTGTGTTTGATTGACAACGTTGCAGTTCTACCAGATCTTATCAGGGCCAAAGAACGTCCGAACAAGCAGATTCCTTTTCTCTTTCCTCTGGAGAAGCCGCCTTCCGCACAAAAGCCGTCATTCGTCTTTATTTCATCGATTAAACTTTTGATCTTCTTTTTCAGCCTCCATTGAACAATGGACTTATTGTGACTGGTCTATAGTTCCAAAATAAAATGGTACTGAAAATCTTGCTAATAGCGCTGCTATATTACCCGCTATCGATTGGGCTTACATTTTACCAAAAATGGTTTATAAAGGTAAACGTGTTCCATTCTAATCGATATTTTTAATGGCCATTCAAATTATACGGTTTTATTTGCAGAATTATAAATTGCCTTTATTCGTGGTTTGCTGGCATTATATTGTGAAATATGTTGCCGCCATATGCATACGTTTCTTATACGAAGTTCTTCATAAGAAACGTATACGACTTCATATGAAAGAACAGCTGAGGTTTCATATTGAAGTGCTCTTGCACTATTTCTGTAGGGTGGGCGTTTCCTTGAAAGATGAGCTGGGAGGTGAGATTTCCAGAGAGAGTATATTAGGGTGGGTGAGCCGATCCATCTCTGCAAAAAGAGTCGTGATTTTAAATGCCTGGGCTGCTCTACACAAAAATGTGGCACCGAATGACACAAGCCAACTGCTCCAGAATGCGTTCATACTTGCACCAGCGTTTTGTTGGCCTCCCTAATACTTTCCCAGTCTGGAAAGGCTGTCAAACGCTCACAGTGCTGGTGGACCCTGAAAACGCTGGATCGATATCTATACTTTCCTCGTCGCTCAAAACGCAAGTATGAATGCAGCTCCCTTACGGTCTTCGTGTGCTGCGGACAGTGCTGAGGCGTAGTCAATAAAGGGGTGGGTTTAGGCACGGCTCCAGCATATTTTTCAACCAACTGTTTTGTCGGCCTGCCAGCTTCCCCAAGTGGTGGAGACGACTTGGCGTCGCGCAAAACCCAGCCCCCGTTCATGATGCAGCGTCCGCGGCGAACAAGACTGTACCAACATTGAGGTGGATCACCGGTGTCCAGTGACGTCATGCAACACTGTTAACCTGACGTGTCTTGTGATCACTAACGGGTACTTCTTGTCATTAGCGTAGTAAGCGCTCGCCCGAACAAATAAGCAAACGTCTCTGCTTTCCTTCCCAAAATGCCCCACCATACTGAAATAGCGCTTATATTTCCTTTTTATGGCAGTTTTCAGAATTTCTTTTCAGATGGCTAGCGCCCATTGGTATATGTGCATCGCTTGATATTGGGCTATCAAACTGGGCTCTCGAATATGTCACTGTCAGTTTGTACACAATGGCAAAGAGTAGTTCCATTCTGTTCATTGTGGCATTCTCGCTACTGCTACGATTGGAGAGGTCATTTTGCCTTATGGTTTTTTGTCTCTACTTGTACCGTAACCCGTCAATCCATAATATTTGCGTCAATCCAGTGCAAAAGAAATGGAATTGATGACGCTACCAGCCCCTCCCACCCTATGGACCGCGAGCTTGAGCTCAAAGTGCTATACATTTTTGAGCCGGGATCAACAGTAGAGCCTCTTGTGTTCTATGGCTCAAGACCGCTCCTCGAATGCGCCCCGCACGTTGACTTCCATTCAGAGGGTAAACCATGACTTGCAGGTGCATACCGTAGCCCAGGACATTTTGCTTCTAAATAACGCAAGGGTGGTGCTATTACCTGGCCAGATGGGTATGGTACCGAATGGTGCTCAACACCATTCAACTAAACGCTTGCTGACCGGGGTGTGATTCGAATTCAAGGCAAAAACGCTTATCCACACCCTTGCAGTTCAGGCTATCCGGGTCAAGGCACATTGCACAAACTAGCAATCTACTAGCTAGTTGGCTTGACACACAGCGCCAGTTCAGGTTGACCAAATTGGGTCCTGGAGCGAAGAACGAGTATGCGTGCCCGCATGACCTAAGCTACGCATTTTGATAGGAGATTCCGCGAGAAGGAAACTGTACTGTCAGTCTGGAGAGTTGGAGAATCAGCGGGAATGAATTCGACTGGTCATCTATCCAGTTCTCCTAGCTCGATATGCTTTCGCTTGTCTGGGGCCCACGATTGTTCAGGGTTTCACTGATTCTCCGTTGTCGGGGTGTGATCACTGCTTTCGATACTGTGCGTCACAACAAGATCTAAGCGTCACGGCAGCCGTCTTCGAGCGGATTGCCCGCTGAAAAAATCAAAACTACCCGCGAAGAAGTTGACGCAAAAGCCATGAAGAAGATGAATGTTCATCCTGTTTGCGGCCCAAGCGATGCTATTCTTCAAAGCCATTATCAGCGAAGTTGCTTCACCCGCCCTGACAGTGCTATAAGTGTATCAAACCAATGGTTCATTGTTCAGGTGGCGTCCGACACTCGGTTTGGAAGCTGCACTGATCGCTAGCGGTCTTTTCCTATTTACATGCACTAATCGTCAATAATATATAGGAGATATACTAGTAGAGCTTGCAGCCTCAATGTATCAGGAGTCCGGTAATGTTTCGTCTTGGTCATAAGTTATCGTTTCTTTAAGATATAATATTAAGATATATATTATAGTTGACTGATACCAAGGCAGAAAATATAGATTTCTCCAGTAGAAAACACCCCGTAGGGGGTTATGTTGACCGTAGGAATCTCACCCATCAGGCCATAGTAGAAACGAAAATAAAGATAAACAGAATTCATAAGTAACAACACGTGTTCTTCTCCCTGCTGAAAATGAGGGTTTTTTACAACTATTGTTGTGAGGAATGCTAAGGAAATGGGTTCTAAATTTCGAGGGCGTCAGTTCGGTATGGGATCCGTCTTGTCGAGCCCATCGAATAGAAATCTGGGAATCTTGTAAAGTCATGGAGTAATACCAGTCAAAGTGCGTCGACGATGGGAAGTAGTGAAAGTGCAGAATGCCCCCTTCAAGAGGAAAAACACCTTCTCGAGTCCTGAGAAAGTCTTATGTCCAATGTTCTCGAAGAAATCTTTCATATGTAGGTGGACTGTGTCACAACTGGTCATGCAAAGAGAAGAGCAGGCGCTGAACCATCCTCTAGATATGGTAGCCCATGTGCAACCTTGGATGCTTATCCGCTGGATTGTACTCACTTATAATTGTATTGAGAGGTTTGCTTTTGATAATTTGAATGAAGAATTAAATCAGCTGTACTGGCTTTTGATGCTATGTGATACAATATTTTAGGAGCGGAACTCTCCTACGATAGTATACTGTATTTGAACGGGCATTATGCACCTGTGCAAATCGCTTTACTGGTGATATGTGGCGGCTTACTTGCGTTTTGTATGGAAATGTCAGGTATATTTACAGCACAGAGAATGGTTCTTATAGGGAAGCACTTACATTTCTTCAGGCAAACGAGTTATATATGCTACAATGTGCCTAATATTACTATGAATTTCAGAATATCTACTTCTTGTTCACACATCGGGAATTACCTTGAACATATTCGGGATTTTGAAGGTTAGATTTTAGTTAACGTTTCATTTGGCACCTCTCAGAACACTAGAGCAACTTCAACGCTGTGGATAGCTGATTAAAATGGGCGGAGGCCGCACACCTTAATGCTGCCATGCTCGTTTTTTGAACCTACCTTCGCAAGACAGGTTCAGGAACATGACAGCATCAAGGCACGAAATCTCGCCCACTTTGGCCACCTAACTCCCCGGCAGTTATCTGGAAAAAGGCTTTTTTTCGTACTTACAAGGAGGCTGGCACTGGGGTTCCCCACTTTCATCACTCCTAAAGTAGCGCGGCAATTGGTAAAGCTTCTGCATTAGCTGAGAACCCCCGACCGTCTACTGTTAAGAGAGGGTGGCCCACGAACTTGTGATTACTGCTTTGCGGTTGGCGTTCAACTTCTGCTTCCCTGCCCCCGCATACTCCACAACTTGCAGTCCGTGTAATGTGTCTTTAAGTCCCACAGCAAGTCAGGGATAGGGCACGTTGAAGAGAAGATTCTGGGGCGGTTTCTTCACCCACTTTTTGCTTCTGAGCTGTTTGAAACCGTCTTAGCAACAGTGAAGCATTTTTCCTCTCTTCATTTATTTTCGTCTTGCTTTTTCCCTCTTCCTTATTCTCCCCTTTCAACTAAGTCAACTGAGAGGCTCAGCTGTGACTAGAAAATGCCTCTGGAACCTTCAAGCGGGAGAATATCAGTTGGACAGATGCCGTGTAACTGTACATAACGTTCGTAAAGGAAGATGAATCCTTAAAGTAGAACATAGTTTTCCCGCACTATCTTTCAGTACCGAGTGGATTGGATCGGGTAAAATAGTGTAATCGAAAACTATATGGCAATGAATTCTATTGAGGGAACAAACTTGAAATTATTTAATTCACAATGCTACTTGATTTGCGATGCTTCCTAATTTCCAGGAGGTAGCTACTCTTCTATTGGCTCATCTCCTAAATAACGACCGTCTTTCATGGGTGAATCTCGCTGGATTGACTCTCTGCCTTTTTGGTATGGCCTTACATGGAATGTCACGACGCAAGCGGCAACGGTACACAACCTAATCGATTTATCTATGCGAAATATATATAATAAAAACTCGGAACGCTTCCTTCTTCAAGGTCTCATCCAGGAAGCCCAAAAGATGACTCGCGAAAGCTACTTCTAGTTGACGATGTCGATACTTAGGTACGTTTTCCGACTAATTATAGGCTGAGTATATGGAGGGGGGGGGGGCAGTTAGAGGCTATAAGCTTTCGACTGAATGGTATAATATCCACTATAAACGCCATGTAGCTTGCTTGGCGCTGACTTAGATGGGCGGGGGGCCTTCTACCCCCTTTGTATTCCTTCCCCTAATCAAGGCTTAAACTTACTGACGACTTCTGCCCCGCCGGACTATCTATAGGCGTCTATGGCCGTCTGCGTTCTAAGCCTAATTTTGTTTTTTGGGAAAGGGTACCTACGCGCATACATACGTGAATTGTCTCTCTTTACCCCCCCCCTCCCAACTACGTTAGCGCGGCTTGCTTTTTATGTACGATTTGTGGTGCAATTCAAATTTATCCTTGTCAGTTACAGACATTTACGCTGATACTTGCATCTTCACGGGAAACTAATTACATTTCCTACTCTAACAAAATTATATGTATTAATTAAAAGTATTCGATGGGTGATTTTTTGTGATGTTATGGTTTTTCTACTTCTGCAGTAGTGTCACTTGCTTGGTAAATTTTAGGTGGTATCGTCGCTAGTGTTTTATTACTTGGATATATTTTTGCTTCAACCTGTGTTTCTAAGTTACTAATTCACTGAGCAATTGTTTGGTATAGATTTTTATCAAGTCAACTCGTATGTTCATATCACAAATTTGTAAATGAAAATATAGCACTGATTTTTAATGAGCCAAAGCATTAAGTATATCGGAAAATTGACATGAAGATATCACAGGAGGAACAAGTTAAGGTCTGACGGCTATGCTTGAAATGTTCGGATGCGGGTAGTAAATGAGTAATCCTACTTCTCGTCTGCGTTCTCTCACCGAGCTAGTAGTCCCCCAACGGGTTTATTCTCAAAGAGCGCAGACAAAAGACTGGGCGTGGCCCAGTCTCTCGCGTTGCGTGCCTACTTTTTGGTCTTAGCCAGATGCGCTTGCGCGTAGGAGAGGCAATATATCAAAAATTCAGTTTTTTGATGGGATTCTGGCGGAGGGCGTAAAAGGAACGTTCGTTTCATTGCTCCACTCGCTCGGCAGCCCCGAATGGTATCTTCGAGTCACTACTGCTGCTACGAAAATGCTTGAGGCATTCAATCAGTGAAGCCACACTTATCCCCACTCTAAGTCCTCTCCGTGACCTTAGGGATAGCGTAGGCCCATTAACGCCACTCCACGCATTAAAGACAAGTGGCGGAGCGTGGAGCCTAGTAGGACGGAATAGCGCCCCTGAGCAGGCAACGCGTAGCGTCTTTTCAACCGCTATGGCGCAACCAAGGTGCAACATCGTGATCCAGACACCCACTGCAACCGACCACTCATAAATGGCTAGACATTCCAATCGACGCTGGTACTCGTATCGCTTCATGTAAAGTACAATTGAAATGATGCGTTGCTAAATCTATATATGGACATATGTGCAGCAGTACCCATTAAAGCGATTGTTGGCACATGTCAAAGGGAAACTCGTCCAGAAATACTCGTCTAATGCCTTGCAGAACAAAAGTTTTCAACGGGTTTTGACAGTTTAACTTTGCTTTTTCGCCATAATCCCGCTATAAACACCTACTTTTTTTGAGCAAGTGTCAGATTCCGTGCCTTACACCTTTGAGCTTGTCAAGGAATCGTTCGTGCGCTTTGGAATCCGACATTTACAGCTCAGCCGTTCGAACAACCATGAAACATGGTACATGATGAATAAGAATAACAGATTACCACAACATAAGTTAAATTAGAAACCCCACAAGTAGGTTTAGAGTTATTGCACAATAGTAGGAATAACTTCTAATTTCTATATAAATATCCTGAGAACCAGCTTAGGTCAAACCTAATAAGAGACCGCGGATCCCAAACCCGTCCATTGATCAGGAACAACCGGGAAATAAGTATCAATAGCCTCAGAGAACCTGTAATGGATGGATGCGTATGTGAGAACATGTTAATAAAGAACTAGGGAAATCCCACCTCGTGCAGTACATTTCTGGACTGAGGATTGTTGGAAGATGAGCGCCAGGTATAGCAACAATTTTTACCCATGATTCAAGTTTCTGAAAATATCAATATGAAGTACCCCTTTGATCTCGCACAACGATGTCACGAAAGAAATTTTCAAGAGGGAAGGATCAGCTTATTCTTTACTCAAAAGAGCAAAGCGATTCCAAAGCTACCTGCAGTCGCGCGTTGCTTGCTGCGGATCCTGGGGCGTGTCAGGGGCTGGGTTTGGCGGTCTGGGTCTACCCAGCCTTTTTCACCAATCGTGGTGCTTGCAAGGTTCCATAGTTGGTGGAGAAAAGTTAGCGCCGAGCCAAACTTAACTCCTGACACGCCCCAGCATCAGCTTCACCACCGCTCGAACCATATCTATGAAGAAGTAAGACAGCACCTTGTCCAGCGTGTACGTCCTCATATAGTCAACTATTCCTAGAATCAATTCACCGTTCGTTTCATCGACTCCAACAAGTAAAGAGTAATCCATAACATGCTGCAATAAGTTAACTGAGTTGAATGTCATTGGATTTTTAATAGACGTGAGCGGTAGAATCGCTTCCATGCCTACATAAATGCTGCTTTCTCAAAAACTTCAGCTGGTTTGACCTCCAAATCGCCTTCTTTTCACCTACTGGAGAAGTGTTTAGCTTTTCTTGTACATTACTTATCCCTGAGATGGTGGAGTAGGCGTGGCATCTGAACATGGCTTCGGGTGGGTTACTCGTGAGATATTTCAGTTTCAAACAACTGCCATCTTGTTCTGTGTTGGGCAAAGACATGATTACAGTTGTCCCAAAATGAAAATATCTCACGAGAACCTGGCCGCCGCCACGTTCAGTTCAAGTACGCAACCACGCCTACCGCATCTCAGGGACTTTAAGCGTATTTTATCGCTCTCGTTATTCCACAGCCGATAAAAAACCATGAAATCGTTTCATGAACCGGTGAGCGCATTAAAAAAAAGACAGAGGGTAACTGCAACTCACCTGGGAACTCAAAAAGTGACTGTCATTGCTGATTGCTTGGTTTAGTGCAGCTTTAGCATGCGGATAAATGTACAGTTGTTTGTTCCACAGATCTTTCATCAAGTTTTCATCCAACAGGACAAGGTCTGATGTGCTTTTCCCCGTTGAGGCCATTCTGTAAGAAGGTAAGATTGGGGAAAAGTTTAGAAACCCTTCATAAACGATGCCTCTTATAAGGGTAGGAGCGGCCCTTTGGACGTAACGTATAGCGCATTCGCCCGCAGAGCACGATTGGCTGGTTCGAGCCCGCCTGAGGTCAAGACTTTTGCCTATAACTCAGCATTCTTGTGACAGCTCATGGAAGAATAAGCCTCCGGCTTTCATTCCTCCTCCATTAGGACTTTCATTAGGACTTTTGTTAAGCGATGTGGCCCTAGAATAATCAGAGGGGTCAAAGGCTGTACAATTCGTGTTCTTATCCTCCATGAGGAGAGCGGTACCAACTTATTCACCCTAAAAGAGTTGGTTGACCAGGGCATAAGCGCCAAAGCGGGATTAGACCCCTGATTGTGATCATGGTGAAGGACACTACCGGCCGCAATACCGTGGCAGTCTGAGGAAATATCTACATTACTACATTCTCGTTAGATGGAACTCAATCCACTCTATGCCAAAGCGATGAACACACTTCATAGTTTGTTTCCAAGTCAAAAAGCAGATCAACAAAACAACCAACCGATTCCTCAGAGAGCCTTTGAGGTCCCATACTTGATTCACATTGTGTTTATAGAACAAATATTCCATAACCAGGATATCAAATTTCAGTTGTGTAGATTTGCTTTTATAGCCAACTCGGAAACACACCATAGACCTAAAAGACTCGTCAGAAGGGCTAGAATTTCGAACACAATACTATTCGAGGCGAAAGTAGCTCAGGGGTACCAGGTAGCGGTGTGGTGCTTCGTTCCATGCTGTGTCTATATGGAGCACGAGAAACGGTGAAGACGCCACTTTTCTGGTTTTGCGAGGGAGCGCAGACAAGAAGAGAAGACCTGGAAGGGTCTCCGGACAAGTTGAACTTGTTCTCCCTTTAATCGCGTCAACTTTCTGCTTTTCTCTGCGCTCTCTGATCCCATGACGGTACTATGACCTTATATGAGCACGACCTCACACATTTCAAGTTTTCACGCATGTTGTGTGGCTCATCCACCCCAGACTCCCACTCCAGGAAAACTCACCTCCTCGCTCGCAACATGTTTTTCGTCCCTTTTTATTAGGTTGTCCGGAAAGTTCTCAGCGTTTTGGGTGTTTCACTTTAAACGATCGTAACTTTTTTAATACTCATCGGATTTAATCGAAATAGGCACCATTCGAATCAGCACACTTTTGCCAATGTGACAGCAGTCGAGAAATCCCATCAAAAGTAAAAACTGGGTGGTCGAGAATCCACGAAATCTACGAAGGTCTTTTTTGCCTGGTCCTATTGATGAAGTATTTTTCAGCAAGGAAGTTCTGAAAATGTTTGAAAAGGTGATAGTCGATTGGCGAAAGGTCTGAAGAATATGGCGGTGAGGTAGAACTTCAACCCCCAATTCGTTCAATTTATGGATAGTGATTTGTGAAACGTGTGGGCGGGCGTTGTCATGCAAAGGAATCGGACCCTTTCTTTTGATAAGTGTTGGCTGCATCTGACAAAATTTTCGGTACAATTCGTCGATTTCTTCACAGTAGGGTTCTGTATGATGATTGAGCCTTGGTAGGAATAAAAAGTTATAGTGGGATCACACCAGCCGATGACCACCAAGCCGTGACCAGAATCTTTTTTCGTGAGGGGTTCGGCTTTGAAAATTACCTCGGTGGTTCGTCGAAATCCAACCACTGTCCGGAACGTCTCCTGTTATCATACATGACCCATTTTTCATCACAGGTGACAATTCGGTTCAAAAACGGGTCAATTTTCTACTGCGCAAAAGCAGTGAAGAAGGAACCTCGAGACGTGCCGATTCCTGCCGGTCACTCCGATTGTGGGGCACCCAATTGTCGAGTTTTTTCACCTTCCCAATGCGTTCCAGACCATCTGCAACAGTGGATTTGCAAACGCCCATAGCCTCTTCTGCGATATCTCTCAAAACTGTTGTGAGCTATTGGGTCAGCCTCCAAAATCCCCCTAAAATCCTCGTCAATATTGCTTTAGGTCGACCGCTATGAGGTTCACCTTCAAGGCTGAAATCTCCAGAACGAAATTTGTTGAGCCATTGCCGCACAGTGCTTTCTAGCACTATTGGGCCCCACCTGGTTAATTTGTTGAGCTGTTTCGATTGCGGATTGCCCCAATTTATAGTCGAAGAAAAAAATCGTCCGAAGTGCTCTTTTCACATGCTTGAAAAAAATCTTGAAAAAAGGGGTTTATCAAGCAATGGTGAAACGGCAATTATACCATCAGATAGCGCAAGAAATTCTCTACAGGATGTGCTACTGAGAAGCAAGGCAGAATGAGTTTTTAATCAGCAGTGAATGTACAAAAAATAGGTGCACAAAACGCTAAGAACTTTCCGGACAACCTAATATGATACAAATACAGTCTCTATTTCTCTGCACTCTGGCCTTTCGCGATAGGACCTCCACCAGGAGTTAACGTAACCATCTGGCATAGTCGCACCACCGCCTGGAACACCCCTCCTTTTTGTTCTGACTCTTCAACTCTTACCTTACACAGAGCCGTCAATTTGTTTTCAACAACAGCAGTTTTCACGTATTCGAAATAGTGAGGCGCGAATTCAACAAAAGACTGGATCTCGAACCGAGACATCTGCTTCACAACAAACCGATCATCCTGGGTCCTATAGAAAAATGATCCTGATTTTCCTCCCTGAAAAAAAAGAACTGTTCGACAATCAGGATGGGAGGGGGGGGGGGTCTGGCAATACCTGTGGTGTCCAGAAAGTGCTTTGAGACAACGAACGGATGAATGCTTCTTCACCTTCTGTGAACAGTAACTTACGCAATAAGCGGAATCGGGCCGCATAGTACGCCTAAACAAAAAAGAAGTGATAGAAACAATACTGTAATTCGATGTGAATTATCGCACATCATCTCGCAATTATTATTAGTGAAAGAACTACGACATCACTGATTAGAGGGGGGGGGAGCGCCCGAAACGGTAAAGATCAGCTACCAGAAAATTGGCGCTGTTTGGTTTAGGAGGGGTGTATTGCGCTCTTGTCAGTTTCTTTCGCAACTTCATGTTGAATACAGATGCATTTTGGTGGAACCTGTGAACCTTTGTGCAGCTAAAGCTGCGGAATGGTACAATTGAGCTACTCAGGTTACAAGATTTCTTAGGTCTTAACAAAGTGACTGACTTGTCTGGATGCAATTTGGTGACCCCGCCAAGCCGAACTGCGTCAATAAACCTTACCAGGCCATACAAGATTTCCCTCCCATTAACTTGAATATGACCTGTCCGTCGATGACTGCTTAGTGATGATGTGCCCTGATGGAAAACGCACTTTGACGTAATAAGAAGCCTGATTATCCTGGAACTCTATCTCAAGATGTTCAGCGGCCAACGCCTGTTCGTCTGATGCTATGCTGTTTGAATTGAGGTTGAGTGGAGGTTGCTCTCCCTTGGCAGCATCACGCTGCTTCCGGCGATTCTCCTGCAATCGCATGCCATAGCAAACGAGAAATTACTCCTTTCAAGACGATTCTAGCCTGCTAATACCAGTTTAAGAGGCTAACCTCATAATCCGCTGAAGAAAGTGCATACGCAATTATACTGCCTATATCGGGCTTGTAATTCCCTCGTGAGTCCTGAAGGAGAATATTTACTTTCCAGTCGAATTATACGTGAAATACGAGCATACCATGATGTCACGAACAACAACACCAACTCTCGGTTGAAGTTTAAGCCCAAGATGTAAATACGATGGGAATGGATCGTCTATTCGTTCCAGACCGATATCGTTAGACTGGAAATGAATGCTGTGAAACGTGACTAGGCACTTTGAGGAATCGCCAAGCCCACTTCAGAAACGACACCATTCTCCTCAGCGTTCTTCTTTACAGCGCGAACTGTTGCGGCAAGCACCGTGCTCTGATCGTTCCATGTCGTTATGAGTTGATAAATAGCTTCACGAATATACATCAGAGCTTCGTTAGCCTGAAAACAATACAAAACCACGTTCAAAAATGCTCCTCACCGGGCATTTTCCCTACAGCGGGCACATC